TAAGGTTCCCCCCATGGACCGTAGGCAGACATTAACGGGCAGCCAGCTGCAAACAAAGTAAAACCAAACATAAAAATGTATACAATGAAACAAACACATTAATAGGAAAGAAATATGGTTACATACACACACGCACCCAGACACACGTCTATAATACCCACACATACCCGCGTATTTCCGAATGTAATGAATCCGAAACGATGAAATACATACATATATACAGATACATACATATATACACATACATACACACATTCATACACATATTTCACATAAAAAGTTCAAATAATAATCAAATAATAAAAATAAAAAAATAATAGTAATAATAATAATAATAAAAATAAATATATAAAAATATAAATAAGATAAAAAAAAATCACCCACACACATACACAAAACAGTCTACGTACATGGAGAGGTATCCAAAGAGAAAAAAAATAAAAAATAAAATAAATAAAAAATAAAAAATAAAAAATAATAATAATAATAATAATGATTAAAAAAAATGAATAATAAAAAAAAATAAAAAAAATAATAATAATAATAATAATAATAATAAATAAAATAAAAAATAAGTAATAGTATTATTAATAAAAGAAATAGAAATGGTAATAATACAAACATGTTACATATTTGAAAGAAGACAGAGTTCAAAATGAAAAGATAATTAAAAATAAGAATACTAATAATAATAAATAAAAAAAATAAGTAAATAAGGATGGGGGGGGGGGGGGGGTCCTCTATAGGCTAATCAAGATACGGTTGTAGTGGGTCTTTCAAAAAAATTAAAAAAAGGTTGCCAGAGTTTGAGAAATTTATTCTCAGACCCACGGACCGTGTATCTAATTTTTTCCATGTTCATACATGACATCATGTCTTTTATCCATTGTGAATGTGTAGGGGGAAGAACGTCTCTCCACTTAAGTAGTATAGCTCTTCTAGCTACTAAAGCTGAAAATCTAAGCACTTTGAGCTCGGAGTTGGGCAGGTTGAGCTCTGGAGTAGCCCCAAAAATAGCACAGAGTGGGTCTGGCTTGATCTCGTGCTGCAAAACCTCAGAGATTGTATGAAACACGGCCCTCCAGAAGTTGGCCAGTGATGGACACGCCCAGTACATATGGAATAATGTACCAGGGGCACTGCTACACCTCCCACAAGTTGGATCTACATCTGGGTAGAAACGTGCCAATTTTACCTTCGACAAGTGTATACGGTGAATGATTTTGAATTGGATGAGCGCGTGTCGGGCGCACATTGAAGTGGTATGAACCTGGCCAAGAATAGATCCCCAAAGATCGTCGGATATGATAAAGTTGAGATCTTGTTCCCATTTTGACTTAATGGCAGTTAAGGGTGAGCTTTGTAATTTTGCTATTAGATTATAAAGAGTTGAAATGACACCTCTAGAAGTTGGATTGATAGATAAAATATCATCTACATAATTGTCCGAAGGTTTTTGAGGGAATTCTGCTGTCATAGTTTGTATATAGTGTCTGACCTGTAAGAAACGGAAGAAATGAGTTGTTGGAAGTCCAAATTTTGTAGATAACTGAGAGAAACTTGCAAATTGACGGTCTAGGTATAGGTCAGTAAAACATTTAATGCCTTTTCTATGCCAAAAGAGAAATTTGCCGTCAGACATTGAAGGGGTAAATAAATGATTTGCAGCGACTGGGCTCCGGAGAGAGAGAGGCTGAAGACCAAAACTTTTCCTGAATTGAGACCAAATTTTAAGAGACTGGTGTACTACTCTATTATGATCAGGTGGGGGCAGAACTAAAGGGAGTGGCGCGCCCAACATCGCAGGTAAAGAAAACTTGCTATCCGACCGAGACTCCATGATGACCCAAGCTGGTGGTGTTGGTTCCAAATAAAAATGTTTCCAATATAGCATACTTTTGAAATTTGCAGCCCAGTAGTAGTATTGAAAGTTGGGAAGAGCCATACCTCCAACCAGCTTGGGTCTTTGAAGGAACGCTTTCCTCAGCCTTGGGTGTTTGCCATTCCAAATAAAAGAGGTAATTAAGGAATCCAGAGACTTAAAGAAGGATTTAGGAATCAAGATCGGAAGACATTGAAATAGATAAAGAAACCTTGGAAGTATCATCATTTTAACAGAATTAATTCTACCAATTAGAGAGAGAAATAATGGGGACCATTTTGAAAATATTTGTTTACATTGATCTAATAGGGGAAAAAAGTTACTTTTGAACAGGTGATTGAATTGCTTAGTGACACAGACCCCAAGGTAATTAAAGCTATCTGTGACTACTCTAAATGGGAATTTTGCAAGGTCTTGCTTTTGAGCCTTCTTGTTAATCACGAACAATTCACTCTTATTCAGATTAATTTTATACCCCGAAATTCTACTAAACCCATCCAGCATTTGAAGCATTGGAGGTATGGAAGTGAGTGGGTTTGAGAAGAAAAGGGAGAAGGTCATCAGCATAAAGTGAAACTTTATGCTGGGTATCACTCCTCCAAATGCCTTCTATGTCCCTCTTGCTTCTGACTGCGGCTGCTAGCGGTTCAATTGCCATGGCGAATAATAAAGGGCTTAAAGGGCAGCCCTGTCGCGTTCCTCGATGAAGCTTAAAATAGTCTGAATAACGACCATTTGTTAATACTGACGCTACAGGGCTAGCATAGAGAAGCTTAATCCAGGAGCAAAACGAAGAACCAAAGCCAAATCTTTCCATGGTAAAAAACAAATAATTCCACTCTACCCTATCGAATGCTTTTTCAGCGTCCATTGAAATGAGACACTCGGGGATATTGTGGTCGGGGGTGTATATAATGTTGAAAAGCCTCCGTAAATTGAAAAAAGAGTGGCGGCTCTTAATAAAGCCAGTTTGGTCTGTTGAGATTATTGAGGGCAGGGTTTTTTCCAGTCTACATGCCAGTAGTTTGGAAAGAATTTTTACATCGGTGTTCAATAAGGATATAGGCCTGAAAGAAGTGCAGTCTGCAGGGTCTTTATCCTTTTTAAGCAACAATGAGATAGAAGCTTGGTAGCATGTTGGGGGTAGTGAGCCAGAGTCAAGCGAATCAGCAAATACTTGGCAGAGAAAGGGGCTAAGGTCCTCAGAGAATTTTTTGAAAAATTCTGAAGGAAACCCGTCTGGGCCTGGAGATTTCCCGGTCTGCATAGAAGATATTGCTGACTGGATTTCTTCTGTTGTAATGGGAGCTTCTAGGATTTTGTTGCATTCTAGGGAGATTGATGGCATTTCAATAGAGTCAAAGAACCCCTGCAAGTCTTTTAGATCTGCCATGGAGTCGGATGTGTACAAGTTTGAGTAGAAAGTTCGAAAGGTATCGTTAATCACCTTTTGATCAGATGACGACTCACCATTATTTGTCCTAACTGCAGTTATAATTTGCTTAGCCTTAATTCCCCGCAATTGATTGGCCAATAATTTACCAGATTTTTCCCCGTGCTCATAGAACTCGCTCTTATTCCTCATTAGACAGCCCTCAACTTGACGAGTGGAAAGTAACTTAAGCTTAGTTTGTAAATTCAGGCGCTCTTTATACAAGGCGGGTGTTGGTAATTGAGCATATTGCCTGTCAATAGTAAGGATTTGATCTGTTATGTCTTTTTGTTCCTGCAGTGTAGACCGTCTCTTAAAAGCTGCCCAGGAGATAATTTCTCCTCTGAGAAAGGCCTTCATAGCCTCCCATACCGTTTTGTTGGGCATGCCTGGTGTTCTATTTTCAGTTAAAAAAGTTTTTATTTTAGAAGAGATGTTACTAACAAATTGTTCATCAGTGAGCAGTAACGGGTCCAGTCTCCAATGTTTTCTCACAGAGTCGCAGCCCTGCAAAGACATTTTAAGAAGTAGAGGGCCGTGGTCGGAAATAGTAATACTCTCATAATTACATGATGTGATATTGTTCATTAGTAAGCTATCCACAAAAAAATAATCTATTCTGGTGTAACTATGATGTGCATGAGAGAAAAAGGAATACTCTCTGCCGGAGGGGTAAATAAACCGCCAAGGATCTGTGAGATTATAATCACTGAGAAAGGACTTAATATATGTTGCAGATTTACTAAGAGTAGTTGGTTTAGAGGATGAGCGGTCGAGCATAACATCCATGCACAAGTTAAAGTCACCTCCCAAAATTAAAGAGTGAGTATTCAGATCCTGGAGATGCGAGAATATATTGCGAAAGAATTGTACATCGTCAAAGTTGGGTGCATAAAGATTAGCCAAGGTAACTAATTTATTACCGAGTCTTCCAGAGATAATTACAAATCGACCGTTTTTATCAAGAGTAATATCCGATGGAACAAATGGAATATTTCGGTCAATAAGTATAGCAGCGCCCCTGGCCTTACCCCTAAAGTTCGAGTGAAAAACCTGTCCTGACCAACACTTTGCCAGACGTGAATGGTCTGAGTCCTGCAGGTGCGTCTCTTGCAAAAATACCACCCCAGGTTTAAATTGCTTTAAACGTGATAAAACACGCTTGCGCTTTATTGGGTGGTTTAGTCCCTTCACATTCCAACTAACCAATGTAAGATTACTAGTCATCTAAAAGGGGAAAAATATATATATATTGCTTAGCCAAGGAGGAGGAGGAGGGATAACATAATGAATAAAAAGAAAGAAAAAATAAATGAATAAAAAAAACAAAGAAAACAAGAAAGAATTAAACAAAAACAAAAAACCCAAAAAAAAAAACAAAAAAAAACCCAACAGGTTGCAAAAAACGGCAACCGTTTCTCCTGTCCTATTCTTATACCAGAAGAGTTCACTCCCATACACTACCTACTGGCCTCCCATCCTGTGTGGCAAAACCCTAAATTAAAATTATATATGAAAACAATACACGTTTTTGAACAGGCTATATCGTTTAACCAGAGCCACCTTACCGAAAGAGTGAATTACGTACGACGACGGGGTACGACAGTTCAATGGAGAATAGCAATAAGCAACAGGGTGTAACATGTCAATAGAGAATAACAGTAAGCGCTCACGTTAGCGTCTCCATCAGGGCGAGGGACCCGCGTCTTCCTTTGTGGATTGGATGAAGCGGGTGGCCTCAGAAACCGATCCCAGCCACCGATTTCTACCATCTGGAAGGGTGATCCGGAGCTTGGCTGGAAAAAGCAGCGAAGGACGGAAACCCCTATTAAATAGTTCGGCCATAGCGTCTCTGTATTGGACTCGCTGTTTCTGGACCTCAGCGGTGTAATCTTCGTAGAACTGAAGCTTGTGTCCGCGGAACTCCAGAGTCCCACGGCGTCTCCGTACCTCTCTCATAACCAAATCCTTGGTCTGAAAGCGGTGGAAGCGTATGATGATCGTGCGTGGCTTTTCATTCAGACCTGGCTTGGGCAGCAGGCTCCTGTGGGCTCTGTCCAGCTCCGGGAGAGTTGACAGGGTCTGAGCTCCGAAGACATCCACAAGCAGCTGAGACACGAATTCTGTAGGCCGTGGACCAAGTTCCAATGATTCTGGTAAGCCCACCATTCGGACATTCTGTCTTCTGCTTCTTCCTTCTAAGTCAGAAAGCTTGTTTTTCAAAAGTTTGTTCTCTTCATGTATTGACACGCATGTAGCTTCCAGTGATGCTAAGCGCTGGCTAACTTCCTCCGCATTAGTTTCTAAATCTCCAATACGACCTTCCTGATTCACAACCTCGGCTTGAATCTTGTCCAGCTTGTTGTTGATTACCTCTGATGAAGCTTTGAAATCGGCGGCTATGGACGCTCTGTGTTGGTCGAGCAAAGCAATGAGTTCTGTGCTGAGACCGATGGTAGCATCTCCAGCTAAGTTAGCTCCGTGAGTAGCCAAACTTTCCTCCGTTTTTTTGCCGGCTTGAGGATCTTTCCTAGGCATGACTGCAAGAAGCACTTTCCGGGATTATTGGCACTTTGACACGTACGTGTTATGAAGCCAAGTAGGGTTTTGTTGCCAAGGTAAATGAAAGTTTAAAGGAGCCCGTAGCAGACAGGTCTACTCCATTCAACCTTTGCTTTTTAAATTAATTTGCCCCCTCAATGACACCGAGAACTCTTTAGTGGTGGTGCTGGTGAATCTCAGGTCTAATGCTGCTGGTGCCAGTCTCCTTTATGGAAACACTGGTATAACTGACTTTTATAAGCTGTCTATATTTTTGTTTTAATGTGAGTCCTGTTTTTTTAGTGTCTGTCTTTGTTTCTTGTTTTAGTTGAGTCTGAATGCAGAAATGATGATGATGATCATGACTATGAGGATGATGAGGATGGCGATGAAGAGTATGCGATGCTTTTGCCCTGATGTCACCAACGCCAAAATCTGGTCCAGGCCGACGCTGCGTTGAGGGCTTATCTTCATCATGTTGGCATCCAGAGACATGGCCCTTACGAATTTAGCAATCCCACTTCTCTGAATTAGGTTGGGATTGGCAAAAAGGCTTCATATACAACTATTCTGTACTGTTAGTAAGTCCTGTCCACCTCATCCTCTGGTGAGAATGACCTGGGAGTGGGGACAACTGTCGACCTCTGTGCACCTAAGAGGGAATTGCTCCTCCACCACAAAGATAAAAGTGATAACAAATACAGTAAGTCAAAAAATGCTTGAATTTGGCCAAAAGTATCTTTATTTGAGCACATTTTTACTGCCTTTGACAAGCAATATTGTATTAAAAAATACAAGAAATATCTCCCGTGGAATGAGTAAATAAAGCAACAGTTTTTCAAATAAGACTAAATGGCTTTGTCCCATTGGAAAATCTTGTTTTAAGACCATCATAACGTACTCAAATTAAAACCAAAAAAACACTGCATTCAAACAATTATTACCTCATATTTTATCATTTATCAGCTGAATCCTCGTAAAAGTCATCTTCTCAGGACGGACACAGAAAACCAGGGAAAGGTCGGTTTGTAAACAATGTTATGGCTACATTCATGGAGGAACAGAGCATTTTGTCCACGGTCCACATACAGACAGTTTATCAAATGCCCAACCAGAGAGGAGAACACTCTGGATCACTGTTACACCACCGTGCGCGGAGCTTTTCGCGCTGTTCCCAAGCCAGCCCTCGGCTTCTCAGAACACTCCATGATACAGCTGATCCCTGCTTACAGACAGAGACTAAAGCTCTCGAAACCTGTAGTGAGGAGCTCCAAAGTGTGGTCTGATGAAGCTGTGGAGGAGCTGCGCGCATGCATGGAATCTACAGACTGGGACCTTTTCAGAGCTGCCACAGATAGTTTGGATGAATATACGGACACTGTGACGTCATACATTCACTTCTGTGAGGATAGCATCATTCCAACAAGGACCAGGGTCATCTATAACAACGACAAACCCTGGTTCACTGCTAAACTCCGGCAGCTCAGGAAAGCAAAGGAGTCTGCTTTCAGGGAGGGGGACCGCAGCGGCTACAAAGCAACTAAATATCAGTTCAGGAAAGAACTGAAAGCAGCCAAGTCCCGGCACAGAAAACGACTACAGGAGCAGTTTGGTAACAACGATACTACTTCTGTCTGGAGGGGCCTACGGGAGATCACCAACTACAAACCCAAAGCCCCCCCCTGTGCTGACGACCACAAGCTAGCTGACGACCAGAACCTTTTTTTCAGTCGCTTTGATGCTGCCCCTGACACCTCCCCCACCCCCCACTACTCTAATGACCCACCCATCAGCCCTGCCCCCACCCTGACAATAGCCTCTAAAGATATCAAACAACTCTTCCTGAGGCTGCACCCCCGCAAAGCTCCTGGCCCGGACCACGTGTCTCCGGCCACTCTGAGACACTGCGCCAGTGAGCTTACTCCTGTGTTCACGGACATTTTCAACACCTCTCTGCAGTCCTGCCATGTCCCGGCCTGCTTCAAATCCTCCATCATTGTCCCCGTCCCGAAGAAGCCCAGGATCACAGGACTCAATGACTACAGACCTGTAGCACTTACGTCTGTCGTCATGAAGTCATTTGAACGCCTGGTTCTCTCCCATCTCAAGTCCCTCACCTCCCCCCTCCTGGACCCCCTGCAGTTCGCCTACAGAGCCAACAGATCTGTAGACGATGCCATTAACCTGGCCCTCCACCGCATCCTACAGCACCTGGACTCCCCGGGGACCTACGCCAGGGTCCTGTTCGTGGAAGAGCACTGTCCCCCCGCCCCCACCCTCCGTGATGGACTCCCCCATCACCTCTGTGGAGTCCTGTCGTTTCCTGGGCACCACCATCACCCAGGACCTCAAGTGGGAGCCGACCATCAGCTCCCTCATCAAGAAGGCCCAGCAGAGGATGTACTTCCTGCGGCAGCTCAGGAAAGCCAAGCTGCCTGCACAGATGTTGGTGCAGTTCTACACGGCCATCATCGAGTCCATCCTCACCTCCTCCATCACCGTGTGGTTCGCTGGAGCCACAGTCAGGGACAAACAGAGACTACAGCGCATTGTGCGCTCTGCAGAGGAAGTGATCGGCCGCAGCCTTCCATCGCAGCAGGACCTGTACGTTGCCCGAGCTCGAGGCCGGGCTGGTCGTATCACAGCCGACCCCTCTCACCCTGCACATGGACTATTCCAACCACACCCCTCAGGCAGGAGACTGCAGTCCATCAGGACTAGAACCTCCCGCCACAAGAACAGTTTCTTCCCCTCTGCTGTTGGACTCTTGAACACTTCTTAACCTGTCCCCCCGCCCTTTATAAAGTCACTTTACTGCCCATCATACGTCACTCTACTTCACTGTACTGCTGTCACCTTACATTGTGTGCACCATGTGCACTTGTATATTGTAAATAGTAACTGTAACTCCATTTTAAATTTAAATTTATTCCTTAGAAGTGTTTTTTATTCTTTATTTTTTTATCATCTCTTTCTGACTGTTGCACTGAGCCAAAGCAATTTCCAAGTCTGTGACTTCCTGTTACTTACGTGGCAATAAAAATGATTCTGATTCTGATTCACAGTGGGTTTATTTCAAGTTAGAGTGTGTGACAAAAGTTGAAGAACAAAAAGGATTCAACATTTTTCACAAGCAAAATTGTGTTCATGAAACTAGTAACGTTGTTAGTTTTCCATCCAAAAACTTTCAATAAAACAAATGGATGTTATTGTGGTTATTTTTAGATGAATATCTGAATAATAGTTTTACATAATGTCTAACTATGTGGTTTATACTTGAATCAGACCACTTCTTGATATATTTAGTTCTATGACAATATAATTTCCCTCTTCTATCACCAAAAGGGTGTGTTGCTTATGTGTATATTTTCCCTGTAAGAAATGATCTCACATTCAAAACATGCAATGCAGAGTATGGCCGTGTCAGCATACCCACTTCATGTAGACCAGGCACCTATGACACAAAGACGATCTGTGTGTGTTACGACTGATTTCAAAAGATAAGTGTACATCAACATTTCTCCAGTGTGAGGTGGTCGCTCTATCGTCCATCTGCGACCCGGGAACTCCCACCGTGATCCTGTACTCCCTCCACAGCGGTCCTCCTCACAACCAATATACTCCCCCATGACCCCATACTTCTCTTGTACAACCATTCACTCCAAAACGGTCATCTCCAAAAACCTATTAATGACTTAATTATTAGCTTTTGTTTTGGTACACACAAATATTACATATATTTGAATTAAGTTTGGTTCAGAAAGCCGAGGCAGCTAACTTTCAAACCCCAAATAATTTCTATTTCTATTACTAGTTATCACATGAATGTATTTTTGGCCTATGTCACATCTTTAGATTGACAGAAAAGTTCATAACATACGTCACTCTTGAATGTTTGCACACTTTGGAATTGTGTTCCCCCTTCTCCAAGTATAGAGGCACAGTTTGGAAAGTGCAGCTTGTATATGTCAGGCAGTGGAGAGGTGGGAGATGCTAACGGAGCAGCAGTGTAAAGGGGAGGGAGGAGTGTGGAAAACATCTTGTGCTGGCAACGTTCCCCTCGTCCAGCTCGCACCTGTGATCACAACCCCTGTGTGCACCGTGGCCATTGTGCAACCTGCCTGAGCTCCAGAAAAATCCTATAGCTAGGTTTACGCTCTACACGGCTCCAAGATCTTGGCAAAATTTGAGGAAACATTTGGGAAAAATGCGTTTTCCACAGGGCCACTCTAGTTTTATTTGAATCCTCTGCTACATTTCATCTAGTTTTATTTCTGTGTCTTTGCACAACTGCACATGTGATGCAGATGTGCACTAGCAAGGGAAAAGAGGATACAAAATTGGTGCTGAGCACATTGTGTGACAGTGAGGTACCAATTACTGTCTTTTTCATCACAGAGGACCACAAATCTGCCCAGCAAAGATGTCAGACCTGTCCTTCAGAGCTCGCCCTCTATCTTTGTGGCTCTGTATGAAGACACTCACCTGACCGTCAGTGTGGCCGTTCTTGCATGCAAAAGCCAGATCTTGTCAGACCTCTGAAGCTAACCAGGGCAGGGCCTGGTTAGTACTGGCCTCTGGGAACACCAGGTGTCACAGTGGGGCGACGCTGATGCATTATTATCAGTATTGTCATGCCCAAGGACATCTAGCTGGACCATTGTATCTGGCATCATCACAAATTGTATGCTGCTTTAACAGACTTTTATCCCTGCTGCTGTCAGATTCTAGAATGAACACTGTTTATGATTTTATGTGTCTGTTCTGTCTGTAATGGTGACTGATGGTCACTTGGATTCTCCTTGTGGGATAAATATCTATCTGTCATAAGCACAATATCGTTCATCGTTGAAAACTCACGTGGCTTCAATAAAAGTGGGACATTCTCTGGGTACAGTAAGTGGGCCGAAAGTGGGGGAGGCACCAGGATGTTGAGTATGTTGCCACGCGATGCCAGCCGGGCGTGAAGCAGCTCTGGGCCTCCCCCCTGGGCATCT